AAGGAAGGAAGGAAGGAAGGAAGGAAGGAAGGAAGGAAGGAAGGAAGGAAGGAAGGAAGGAAGGAAGGAAGGAGTTAATGAAGTAAACTGGAAGCCAACACAGAGTGCTCTTTTGCCGCCACATTGCCAGTGTGGGCCGTGCAGGCTCCCCATCTGCCCATGCCTGCACTTTGGTTTGGTTCACACAGCATTTCTGTGGGCTGAAAATGCAGCAAGAGGAGCTGCTCATCAAAGAAAGGAGATGCACTTTGGTGCATCTTTTCTAGGGGAGAGGAGTGCTGTAGTTTCGCCTTGGCAGAAATATCGACCCAGGAAGTGACACAGCTGTGCTGGGTGGCCACAGGTATCGCATGTGCCTTAGCATAACCAGCCAGGCGCTAGTTATACCAGCCAGCATCTCATGTTGGCTTCCAGAGCCACGGAAGAAGGGGGCTTACCCCTGCCCCGCAGATAAGCCTCTTGACTTATAGAATGTCAAGTAGCCAGTTGTCCTTCTTGGATGAGCCACTGTGTGGCCTCTGGCCCTCTCTGTAACTGTTCTGTGCTCCTCAAAAGGCAACACTGAGCGGGAAAGGAAGAGAACGTGTAGTGAGCGTGAGAAGGGACCTGTGTGGTCGCGTCGTGTGAGGGGATTCTGATGCCAGAGGCGTTCTGAGTGAGAACTGTGAGGCTGGAGGCAGCTGGGGAAATGGAACCACAGCAGCCTTCTCAGTGAACAGCAGGATGACAGCCTGGGAGCAGAGGCCAGACCAGACACAGGACTCATGCCGTTAGGGTTGGGCAGCATAGGCATGGAGACAAGAAGCCAGAGCGAAGACCCCGGAAGCTGAACTATGCAGGGTGGGGTGAGGCTGAGGGTGTGGAAGCAGGGGGCACAGTAGAGGCTGCACAGGCTTGGAGCTGCGGCAGAGCGAGTCCGTGTTCTCTGAGGCTGAGCTCTGCAGAGGGCAAAGGAAGAAAACTAAGAGCAAACAGTAAGCACAGTAGTGAGAGCAGCCCTTGCTGATGAGGTGACCTGTAAGGGGGTGGAGTGGCAGTACGCTGTTGGCCTTTGTTGTTTTCAGTAGGAGAAAACCATGGTCTCAGCTGGAGTCCTAGGTTCGAGTTTCCCAAAGCAGGCCCTGGCGTGAAGAGTCTCGCACAAGTGATGTACCGATGGCCAGTTCTCAGCCAACACCATCAGGCAGCTGAGAAGAAAGCAGGACTGGATGGTGTGCAGTTCCAGTCCAATCCCAGGGGGCGCTCTGGAGTCAGATTGCCCTGTGGAAGTGCTGTGTCCTGAGGCAAAGGGGAGGGAGCTAAAACTGTGTTCCAGGTAACCCTGTCTGTGTGAGACAGCTCCAACCAGCCAAGGACAACCCCAAGGAAGTGTGCACCTGCAGCAGGTGGCAAGTGGAGGTCTGTGCCCTCAATGGTGTCCATGCTCTCCATTATCTTCCTGGCATGTTGCTTGCTCAGGTCCTAACCGTCAACACCACGGGCTCTCATTCCTCTGCACACTGCTGTCTATTCAGCTCCTCTGCCTGTTCCCCACTCTTCCTTCCTCCCTCATCCTCATTTCCCACGTAGCTAAACTGTCCTGTCCTGTGCAGCACCTCCCTGGTGTCAAAGCAAAAGCTGGCCCGTGGCATTCGGCACCTACTTACAGAACAGTGTTAGAATACATTGTTTGTAGCTATGGTTGTGCATACCTATAATCCCACAACTCAGGCGAGGAAGTCAGTCTGAGCTACAGAGTGAGACCTTTTCTCAAACAAGTAAGTGAAACTATTGCTTTTAGCGTATCGTTATGCATTCATGTTCCTAACAAACCTTGAAATCTTAAAGGGCAGAAAGCTTTTATTATTCATTTATGCACACCCAAGTGGTGTCCTGTGTGGCTGGCCCGTATTAAAAATAAATGCCGAATAAGAATTTGTTGAACAAGGAAATGAAGATGCCATGGCTATGAAGTACAGAAAAGTAAAGGGGACCCCTATTTCCTATAGAGGGTGCTGCATGCCTGAGAGACTTAGGGTGACGGCTCATGTTCTCTGCTCCCCTTTGTGTGAGATATGAAACATCCCAGCTAAGCTCTGCTCTTCAGGGAGCTTTGAGGTACAGCCACCAATGGAAAATAAAAACCCAAGCAAAATTAGCTTAGGTGCGCTGTTTGCTGAAGACATCCAAAATCCCTCTTGAGCACATCACCTCATTTCTGTATTCCACCAGCCTGGACCATGTCGCCTGGTAAACCTGTCTACAAGCCACCCAGAACACTGTGCCATTTACCTGCACAAGCAAAGATGCATTTATGTAATCAGTATGCTTCTAGATCTTTAAACTTGGGAAAGATGGAGCTTTGGGTGAGAGGCAGGGGAATATTTATAGTTCTGTATTGCACAGTGAGAAAGGAACTATTATATTAAGGGTCTTGGCTAACTAATAAATGTGGCATCACCAAATGAGAAAAATATAGAAAGCTGAGTTTTGTTGAGTTAGAACTGTGTTCAGTGGAGCACCACTTTGAGTGGACAGTTTCATGTGCCCTGTCTGGAATGTTCCTCGGTAATAATACCAATACAGGGCATTTTCTTCTCTGCCATCAGCCCTCTCCAGGCCCTCTGCGCTAGCTAGTCTCTGGCTCTGACCTCAGCTTACAGGGAAGCACCTTCTGCCGCTGTCAATTGGTTTATTCTTTTCTGGGTTTTGCATCTGTGTTGTCACTTGAAGACTGAGCTCTCTCGTTTGTGTGCCCTGCTTGTGTACATGGTTGAGCACTATTCCAGTGGGGCCTTTCCACCTGTGCTCACTCTGTTACGTGGGCATTGGCTCCTCTCCAATCCGGGGCTGTAATGGACAAAGCTGCTGTGAATATTTGCGTGTGCATCTTTGTGTGACCTTGTTTTGTGCTCTTGGGTACGTGGATGTGCAGGTGAGGTACTTACTGTCCTTGGAGAGGACACCCTGGATTGCATAGTGTTTGGTTTTGTAAGAATTGGTCAACCTGCTTTTCGAAAGATTGAAACGTTTTGTATTCTGAGCAGCAGGGTGAAGGCTCGAGCTGTGGAACTTGCTTCTACACTGCGGTTCATCTGTTGGGATGAGCCCAGGATACCTGATCTTCGAGGAGACCAGCCCCCGGAGCCTTCTGCAGCACAGACGCTGAGCCCTGCCCTCACTGTCAGCCCAGTGGGCTCAGGGAGACCTGCCATTTGCAGCACTGGGGTCCGTAGAAGATTCTTTGGGAAACGGCTCTGCAGTTCACTAGACATTCTTATTTCCCAGGAAAAAAATCCCCCAAATAGGGACATCTGGTATTCTAACAGGGAAATGGCTGCACTTAACAAATGCCAACATCTGGCTGAGCCAGCTGTTTCTGTCTCACCATTATCTATGGATGCTCTGGATATGCAGAGACAGATGATGCACAGGGGTGGATGGCTTCCAGCTCTTTCTGAAGTGACTTTGAAATGTGTGTTTATTCTTACTTTCTCCTAATATTGTGTTCTAGGAATATATGTCAAGCAAACAGAGAGAGCATGTTTTTTGATAAAGGAACTCAAGAATTGCTGTGAATTGGCTTTGGCTCTCTCTATGATCAACTGACTGAGGACACAGAGAGGAATGGGTGGTTCTCCTATGCTTTGTGTGTGTGGTGTCGGGGTGGAGGTGGCTTCTCCCACCTGGAATCTGCACTTTTGTAAAGCTTCAGGTGCTGCAAGGATGGGAGACTCCAAACATGTGAGAGATGTTGGAAAAGGACATTGATTCTCAGTGTGTCCTCGGGACAAAGGAGGATGGCCAACTGTCTGGGCACTAGAGCTTTTTAGGCAAAACGAACAAATAAACACCACAAAGTGGATCTTCTTTTGTTAGTGGCTTCCTTAGGATTAAGGTGGGTAAGAGACACACGGCTTTAGTCCAGAATTCAAGCTAGCTGCTCAGTTTACTAGTTGTGTTATCTGGGCTCTGTCTGGATGCACAAAGCCTCAGCTCTCAGATGACAATAGTAGCATCTATTTCACTTGTCCCGCTCAGTCGCTGGCAAGTTTGGAGACTCGGAGCCTAGCATGGAGTCAGCACTCAGTGAGGGTCATTGGTGGTGTGTGGTCCATGCTGGGCTGTGGTTGAGGACAGGGACAGAGGCTGATGTGCAGAGCCTAGGTCTTCAGGGATTTCTTTCTTCCTGCTCCCAAGGGGGTGTGAAATGAAGCACCTGACTCTCCTTTGCTCTGCTCCCAGGATGATGAAAAGTACCCTTCCTCCCCCACACACCTGGCAAACCCTGGGAGAATTTTCCCCGTGAGCCAGAGTTTCTGGGGGACCTGTCACCTCTTATCTGATTCCCAAGCAACACAAAAGCATTCTTGGCTGGTCTGAAGGTCTGACCATGAATGACCTTCAAACACCTGTGTATGAACATGAGACCTGCTCAGGGAACTCGCAGTGCAAACGCCTCTGGCCCTTTCCCATGGAGTCCTCCCTCTCTGCTGCCACCACTATGGGCCAGTCCCGAGAAGCAGCCTTGCAGCTTCAGACCATCTGCATCTGACACAGCTAGAGTCAGCTAGACCACAGCTAGAGACTGGGTCCTCTCTACCCAGACCCAGTCCAGAGGCCAATTTGAGGCTTGTATGTCTTTAAATGGCACCAAGGCTGCCCCTTCCCCAGGCTTCTTGAGAGCACATTGAATGGAGGAGTCCCTGAATGGGAGGCTGAGGCCACTTTCCTCTCTCTCCCATCCACGTAGATGCCAACCCAGACTCGGCCTTCACGGGCATGTCTTGTCTACCTAAGGGATGCTCATGCCTTAGGATTCTTTGCCCTCCTCTGAAACACACTTGCTCCCTACCCCTCCCCACTGCCATCGGCGGTGACCTTGGCATGTCTGCCAACACTCAACATTGCCAAGCTTTATAAACCTCATATCTCAGAAAGGGGCTGACATTACATTACAAGAGGATCTGTAAACCTCCCTGGGATGACTGATGTCTTTTTTAAACAACAGACCAAGACTCCATTTAAATTAGTAACATGGAGATTAGAGACGCTCTCCCAGCCCCTGGCTCGGCCACACTGAGGAGCTGGGAATATCAGTCACATGAAAGCTGTTAAGTTTGAGATGGAAATGAATCAGGAAGCCTGTAAAAACTGTCAGTGGGTCAGGGAAGTTTATGAACTCTTGCTGTATCTAATCATAAATCATCAGAATAAGCTAAAACTGAGAAGAAAAATGTCCTCTTTTGTAATCTAATGCTGTCTGTTAGGGCAATAAAACTCAAATGAAATGCGCGCATTGCAATTTTTAGCTGATACTTTACATTATTAGCAAAGCGAGGCAAGAGGCTCCAAGTTAAAAGAGTGAGACAGATGAGGGGAAGGCCACCATCCTTCTGTGGCTCTAGCTGTGAACCCTAGGGCACTGTGGCTTTTTTCTCCTCTCCCACCTTCTTGAGCCTCAAAACCAGGAATTAGGTGACAGGGCTGCCCTGGTCACAGGCACTAGATGGCAGGTTTACTGCCTGTCCTGCTGATGGCCTTGAAAGACATCACATGACCCAGTATCTGCTCCCAGCCAGAACCCCCACACTGCCCCTGTTCACCCAAGACCCGGCTCCACACATTCAGTCTCTGGGGTGGCGTGTATGCCAGCCACACTCAAGCCCCCAAGCTCTGCTGTCCCGTCCCGTCTGCCTGTATCTGTGCCCTCTCAGCCTGTGGGTGGGGCTCCCTCCTCAGTGGCGCTTCCTAGGTGTTCCCCTGTGCTCCTGGAAACCCTCAGATTTCACGAACCTGGCCTGCCTCTTCTCCCATGGTCTGTGCTGCTTGAGACAAAGGACCACATGCTGCCTTTCTGTTCTCCTGGCCCTGTCCAGGGATGAACAAGCCCCAGCAGGCACAGGGGCTTCAGACAAGAAGGATGACTCCCCTAGTCCAACTTTTTGCTGGGCAGTAGATCCATGCTGTGCCCCAGAGGCCAAAGGGACAGAGGTCTACCCTCCAAAAGATGGTGGCAGTGGAGAAGAAGGTGCATCTAGACCCACCCTAGCCAAGGTGCTGTCAGTCCCCTGTGGCTTCACCTTGGTCTTTCTGAATACAAGACAACAATAGAAGCTGGAAACAGTGTAGGGTGAGAAGCACAGGGGTGCCAGGAAAGAGCCTGTGAAGACAACGAAGGGAGGTTAAGGGTGCTTCCATCAGAGAAGTGATGGATGGACAAGTGTAAGAACTTGGCTTGGATGCATGCCCCTCAGCACCCACATGAGGAAACCAGGCGTGGCGGCACATACTTGTAAGCCTGATGTTGAGGAGGAGAGTCAGGAGGATCCATGGGCCTTTCCATCTAGCCAGCCTTCTCTAATCAAGCCAATGAGAGATCCTGTTTAAAACAAACAAAAAACAAAAACAAACAAATAAGGAAAGGAGCTACAGAGATGGCTCAGCAGTTAAGAACACTGGCTGTTTTTCCAGAGGACCTGGGTTCAGTTCCCAGCATCTACATGGCAGTTTGAAATGGTCTGTAACTCCAGTTCCAGAGGACCTATGCATGCATGTGTGGTACATACACTCACACAACCACACACACACACACACACACACACACACACACACCAATAAACCAACAAAAGAAAAGATGAGGCCTTGTATGAAGCCAATAGTGAAACTTCATATTCCGTGCCGCAGGCACTTCTGTAAGAGAAAGCGGCCCCGCCTCGTACTTTGGCTGTGGTGGGTGTGGGGAGATGGTAAAAGAGAAGTGAATGAATTAAGTAGAGTTACAGCACAGCAGTGGAGACACCAGTTGGCTGCAGGGTCGAATCTCCTGGTCTCTGAATTATGTAGACGCTGGACCAAAGTAGCAGTTCTCAACCTATGAGGTCATGGTCCCTTTGGGGGTTCAAACAACCCTTTCCCAGGGGTCACCTAGAGCCCTGGAAAGCACAGATATTTACATTGTGATTCATAGCAGCAGCAAGATTACAGTTGTGAAGTAGCAATGAAAATAATTTTGTGGTTGGGGTCACCACAGCATACAGAGCTCTATTAAAGGGTCACAGCATCAGGAAGGGTGAGGACCCCTGGACTAAAGGCTGGCCAGCGGAGAACCCACCCCTGAAGATCACACCAGAAGTATTAAAATTCACTAATGTGGATAAGATAGTGTCCTGCCGGAAGGCCGTGTGTCCCATCTCTGTGCTCTTACATCATGAAGCGATGAGCCAACTCCTTCACGGCTGTTTCACATGGACACTAGTCTTCTCCCTGGGATGGAGTTCTCGTGACATAATCGCCTCCCTAGACTCCGCCTACTCTTGCCATAACACTGGGTACTCAGTTATTATCTAGGAATCAACATTGCCACCACAGAAAGGAGAACATCTCCCATGGGCATTCGCACCCCTCAGCATCTCCCTGGGCTCCCAACAGGAGGGGAAAAGCACAGGGGAGAGGCTCGTCCTTCCGTGGGCAGTGTATGATCTTTCCTGGGTACAGTGGTAAGCTTGGTGGGCGGTCATGTCTCCTGCCCCATGTACAAGCGAGCGTTGTGAAGATGGGACATCTGGGACCAGGCTCCCCAAAGTGAACAGAAGTGAAGGGAGACTTGGAGGAGTAGAATTCTTACAGATGCTGTCAGCATGGGTGTAAAGTGTGTCCCACTCCAGCCTCAAGCTCACGCCTTTGAACACTTGGTCTTCGGCAGCTGGTGCTGTTTTAGGTACAGCCTTTAAGAGGTCAGGCCTCACCCGAGGAGAAAGGGGGTCACTGGGGAGGTGGTCCTTCAGGGTCATGCCCCAACTCACTTGCAGATCAGCTCTCCCTGCTTCTTTGTTGGCCACCAAGACGAAACACACTGACTGCATCTCAAGCTCCTATAGTGCCCTGACACCATGACTTCCCACCATGACAGACTGCTTCCCACTGAACTGTGAGACAAAATAAACCTTCCTTCCTTACGTTGCTCTGCTAGATTTTTTTTTTTTTTTTTAAGCACGGTGACAAGGTAGGTGGCCGATACCCACATTTACCAGGGACATCAGGAAGTAGCTGTGGTGAAACCTCCCTGTCTTGGCCTCCACAGCAGAGAAGGACACAGTGACATTCAAGGCCTCCAGCAACCCCTTTCCCTTATGAATAAAGAGTTTCAAGGGAAAAGTGATTTGATTGATCAGTGGGCTCAAATCAGGAGGCCTGGGACTCCCGAATCACACTCACCCACACTTGCTTAAACCTAGAGTTGTTTTTAAGACTTCACATGAATCCCAAGAGAAAATCGCAAAGGAAGTTGGCCTGTCATGAGTACATCCCTGCTTCTGCCAACTTCTACATGTTTATTTTAGTTTGATCATGGAGAATACCAGTCATTGGTCAGTGACATGCCTGTTCTCTTAACTTCATAAATAGGGAAGCAGAAACCCTACTTACAAATTGCTCGACAGCCATGTAACTGACTAAACCTTTTCTTTTCTCTCAGATAATTGTGTTTACCACACATTTTACTGCCTATTAGATTTACAAGATGCTACAGGTGGATCATAGAGGAGCAGAGAATTATTGTAAACAAAAGCAGGAAAAAGTCTTATTGCCCACAGGCTTACGACCATCGTTGGGATAGAAGATGGTCAGAAATGCAGAATTTATATGCATGTGTTTTTGTCTATGATGAGGTGTGTGTGTGTGTGTGTGTGTGTGCACGCACGCATGTATATGTGTGTGCATGTATGTGTGTGTTAGACCACTGAAGTGGAGAGGATCCATATATGTTTGGGGGAGCAGTGAGAGACACTTCCAGTGTTGCTGGACTTGACCATTTAGCATGCACAGTATTGTACCCAGTATTGTATATCCTGGGGATCAACAAGA